ACATTCCACACACACATCTATATATATATATATATTTATATATACCATTTCACTCAGGAGGTCCGACTCAAAGCCAAGCCCTCCCGAAAGACGAGAGTGTCGTAACTGTTTTAGCGCCAGATACCTCCACCGACCAATCAGATGAGGCCATGATTGAGTTAGATCTGCTCAACAGACATGAGTGTATGCCTGCGATACTTCAGGTAAGGTTTGGTGTTTTAACAATTCAGAACTGTAGGGTTTGTGATTTTAGGGTTTAGGGTTTAGGGTTTAGGGTTGAATTTCTGCTATGACTTTACATACGCATCACGTTCATGTGTAAAGATGTACATAGATATTGGAGGAGAACTCATATAAATGTTATCATTGTGGAATCTATCACAAGACTCGGTACTAATTTGCTACTTGTAACAAACGTACATAAACTGAAGACCAATGTAGCATATCGTTTGGTATTCCATAGGGTGTAGGACGATTTGAGTAGGTGCATGTTCTATAAATATAGCTTCCAGTTCATGATCGGCTCAATTTAGACTCATCCCGATCCATATCACGTTTTATAAATATAACTGTATGTCCACAATTTGACTCAATTCGGAACTATCCCAATACAAATTCACGTTCTATAATATTGCTACCAAATCCGCGTTCTTTAAATACTATTACCAAATCCACGTTCAATATTTATAACTACTACATTCAGGTTGTTCAGCATCTGCACGCAGTGGTTGACGTCAGTGAGGTAAGACGGAGTGCTATTATGACCTTTGCGAACATACTAATACTTGTATGAAGTCAAATGAATGCACACATGTACACATATAAAGTGGATATATATATAGCATCTTAACACATACGTGTATCTGTATAAAGTACATGTATATAGAGTTTCCGAAACCACACAGGAATATGTGTCTAGTGCATATACGTACATTTGTATGGAGTACGCGTATATATAGTATCCGAACACACACAAATATATGTATAAAGTGCGTGTATATAGAGCTAATTAACACATACAGGTATATGAATAAAGTGGATGTAATTATAGTATCTGAACACATGTATATAAAATATGTGCCTATGTGTATCAATTTTAAGAACAGATTCGTCCAATTGTGAATGCGTATTAGCAAACTTTTAAGTTAGTGTACGCATGAAATGTGCAATAGCTATCTGAGTTTTAAGGTTTAAGGATTGCAGGCAAAACCCTAGATGTGCATCTCGGACGAGTTATGGCAGTGAACCCGTCTAATACAGTTATATGTACACCTGTAAAGAGTATCCATGATAGTACAAGCAAACTGATATATAGTTCCTGATATCCTATGTACGTGGTTATTGATCCCGATAAGATACCAACTGTCCGCAACTCTGCAGAAAAAAGACCGATTCGAAAGTGCGGCGAAGGAGGTGCCGTGGTGGATGCAGAAACTGTTGTCCTTTGTCAAGCCGCAGGTGGATGAGTTCAGCGACGTTACACACATTAATGTGCACATGTTTATCGCAAAGGTAAATACCAGTCCAATACACTCATATATGTATATATATATGTGTGTATGCGTGCAAGACTTGGACCTGTATACAGTAGTCGCATATGATGCACTTGTGGATGTGTTTGCACGAATTAGCTAAGTCTGCATATGGGGTGGAATGACACAATACCTTCCATGAATACTCAAGGAGGCGTATACCAATTGTTCTCTGATCATAAAACTATAAATTTGTATCTATATAATATATTT